CACCCAACTCCGCGCCGATTTCTGCATCGACGACACTCGCATCTACGCCGCGGGCAAGTCTAATGGAGGGGGTTTCACAGGCACGCTCGCGTGCTCCGCTGAGCATGGCAAGAATTTCGCGGCTATCGCTGCGTGCTCGGGGGCGTTTTATACGGATGTTGTTGAGGATCCTGGTGATAAGTGTGATCCTTCCCGTTCGCCGTTTCCGATTCTCGAGTTTCATGGGTCGATTGATGGGACTGTAAGTTGAATCCAACAACAACCCCCAGAAAGAAACTACATCTTTTTGGGCGGGGGAGAGTCCGTTAAGGTGAAATAGTGGCACAAGGCTGACAAACACACAGATCCCCTACCGCCCCACAACCAACGGAACGGGGGGGCCCTTACCGCAAATCCCAGATTGGCTCGATACCTGGGGCCAGCGCAATGGGTGCGCCGCGCACTATAAGCCCGCTATGTCGCAGCTGAATGGCGATAAGACGGTGCAGGAGAGGCTGTATACGTGTAATGGCGCGGCGGTTGTGACGGGGTACTATATAGATGGGATGGATCATAGTTGGCCGTCGACGACGGAGAATAGTGATAATATAAAGCATGGGGATGGGCCGGTAAGTATTGATGCTACGCCGATGATTTTGGATTTTTTTAGGGGGATTAGGAAACCTTGATGAATTACGTGAGGTGGTGGAAGATAGGATTTAGAGATATAGTCCCTGGACTAAATACATCTATCCATCCTCATCCTCCTGCTATCTCATGTTTGCTTGCGTTCCTACGCATTGGGTTTTGGTCAAAGGCGCGAGAGTTGATATGTCAATCAAACAGTACCTACAAACTAGGAGGAACCTTCTGTCACGGGATGACGTGAGGACAATGTGTTCATGTATCACGTGTTCCCGAGTAAACCTTTCAAGCGTGCGGAATAATCCCTGTAAATCTGAGCTCGGGATGAGGGTCGGGTTGTCTAGTTTGCAAGAGCATGAAGAGTTTTGGCTTATCAGTCCCGCCTGTCCGCCTGGACGCCCGCCCGCAAGAATCGAATGGGTCTTGGCTCAACATTCACTGGCTGGGCGGTGACCTTGCACAAAGTGGTTCCGCTAAGGAACTAGTGGAGACCCGCTAGAGCCCCGCTAGGCTGTCCGCCGGCTTTCATGTAGGTCAAAGTAATAGCGCTTACTGAAAACTAGCTACTATCTTCCCCCCTGAAATAGGCAATTGATCTGCCGAAGATCCCTTGCGTTTCGGGCGACGAGGGAGTAACCTCAGTTAGTCTTCATATTCGCGGTGCTTGGGGCTAGTATCGCGCAGACTAAGTATTGTTAGCATGGAATTGAGAGTTGCGTCGGCGCAATCTCCTTATTAAATAACATTATGATTTCATTATCTAGAACATTCGATTATAATATTATAACGATATAGATTTACAGGGTCTCGCGCATCCCCTGTTACAAATCCTTTTTCCTGTATAGTGGCTCGATTGTTAGCGTTCGAGGTGGCGTAATGGTCATAGTGGTGTAATGGTTACCAAAACCTGAGTCTCGCAACTTCAAATCAATATTTACTATAATACAACTCAGTGTACCAAAATTTGAGTTAGACAAATCATCTATAAGTAGGTCCCCTACAATTTCCGGTGTAGTAGCTTCTAGTTTAACCCTCTGTGCCCGAGCATGTTTTTTCAAGAAGCCGGTTTCACGGCCAACAATTATGGCCCTGGTACTCAAAGCAACTACAATGTTCAAGATACAACCATTCCGGCACTGGTAAGATGTACAACTCTGGCTGTGCTCCGATGACCTTCAACGAGGGTAAGGACTAAGCCACCTAAATAGTGACGGGCTACTGTTTATAATTCATACATAGTGGTCATGAACATAAAGAGATCTTCCATCCTAACAAATTCGTAAGTATCATCGCAAAAGTGTCGGAGTTTTGTTCGTGTGGCCCCGTGCGAATATCTCACATATGCTAAGTATTACAATCATTTCAAGGACAACAAGGAGACGTTTAAACATATGGTCTTAGGGATTTCATACACAGGATTGAAGAGATCGTTTGCAGCAAAGTGATCTTGATGGAGGGTTGCTCCTCCTAAATGTGAACACAGTTTAAGCGGTCGGCGTAATGGATGAAGTGGTATCTATGGTACCAGCCAAAGCAAACTTTAGAAGAATGCGTTTATATCGCGTCGTTGATGGCTTGCCAGCCTGCTCAGGCAGAATCGATCAAAAATAATCCACCTGTTCGTAGCCTTTGCTAACTTATTGGTCTATCCTTTATGGAAGTAGCATCTAGCACTTTGGGCAAGTGGAGTCTCTGAAGCAGAACATCCCCAACTCTCGCCGCTGTTCACACCAACACTCTGATCATCACCGGTACAATCGGTGGTCTGGTATAACGAACAAGTTGTCTGGTACGACACAAAATCAATTCCCGTTGTTCGAGTTAACCCGACTGATGTCGCGCCCCCTGAAAGAGGAAGGCAAGGAGTCGTTCCTAAGAAGCTGGTGTAATCGTAGAAAGAATTGCATTTGCAACCATTACACTTATAGAAGTAGGCATTGCCAACCAAGTCCTCTCCTAGAACTGAGCCTGTTGTAGCGAGAGCAAGTATGATAGTTTTTGTGATGATATTAAAACGAGCCATTATGGATTAAGTGTCTAAATCACTGCGCTGCCCCCCCCCCCCGGCACCACCTTCGTGGCAGCCATGAGCGCCTTCATCAACATCTCGTACACCTTCATCGAGCAGATCACGCTGCCGAGCTTCATTGCCGAGACGCACGATTCCAAGGACTTCCTTAAGGCACTGTGGGCCGTCACCATCGCCGAGATGATCGTCTTGTGCATCGTCGGAGCCGTCATTTACGTCTTCACCGGCAACCAGTACATGACGGCTCCCGCCTTGGGATCGTTCGACAACGAGGTCTACAAGAAAGTCTCCTTCTCCTTCATGATCCCAACCCTGATCTTCCTCGGCGTGCTCTACGCCATCGTCTCCGCGCGCTTTATCTTCTTCCGCATCTTTGAGGGCACGATCCACAAGTCCTCGCACACGGTGGTGGGCTGGAGCACCTGGGCCGGCATCCTCGCGCTCACCTGGATTGGGGCCTTCATCATCGTAGAGGCCATCCCATTCTTCTCCGACCTGCTGAGCTTGATGAGCTCACTTTTCGACTCCTTCTTCGGCTTCATCTTCCGAGGCGTCGCGTATATCCTGGGGGGTCACGTGGCTACATGAGCAGAACCCGGCTGGGTATGCGAAGCTGGGGCTTAATATCCTCATCATTGGCATTGGCTTCTTCCTGGCGGTTGGGACATACGTGTCGGTGCAGAGTATTATTGATAGTCATGCGGCGAATGCAGTCTGTAGCGTCTTCACATGTGCGAGTAATGGGATTTGTGCTTTGCAGATACGAAAGGAACTCTGCGTGTGCACCTATGGGATTTTGCGGGTTTTTAGAGGGAATGGCACAGAGGTTTGATTTATTTCGATGGGCATTGATGGCTATTGGATAGTGCCAGGGTGCTAAGGTTGTGGTAGAATTAATAATTCGATTTATTAACTATATTCAAACTAGTCACTGTCCGTTCCACAAGAATTATGTTTTGTGTTTTGTATTACTTTAGTAGAGGTGCCATAGCCCTCCCCCTTGTCCAAGTGAAATCTCAAGATCCGTCAAGTATGAGAAGACAAGGGATAGCAGAGCAGTTCAAAGCCTAGTGACCTCCTGTCCCGTCGCTAACCCCCTGACCTCTCCCACGGCGATAGCATCTACTCATACGGCTCCATCAACTTATTCCCCAACACCCCATTCGGAAAGTCCTCCTCTCCTAGATGCGTCGTATGAGCCCACGGCTTCAACCTATTCTCCTTCCGAATCGTATGCGCAAAGCACTTCGACCACTTCATCCTCGGATACACATTCGTAACATTCAAAATCGTCTCGGGATGCACCAGTTCCGCATTCTTGCCAATATTATCTGCCGCCCCTTAGCCTCATATTCGCCGATAACCCCCACCTCCCCAGCATCCCCACTCTCTCTCGCACCAAAACACTATCAAAGAAAATCTTACCGAAAATAGTAGCCAACTGCACCACCGCGCCAATACCGGTAATCGTCCCCGTCTCCCCGAGGTCCTGATGTCTAATCACCGCTTCGGCAACGCTCTCAGCCTGCGCAGTCGGCGCGCCTTCTTTCTTGAGGAGGTCGAGGACCAGCAGCCCGCCGTAGAACTCGAAGGATAGGAGCGTGGCGCTGAT